TTCTTAGGAGCTTGATACTGCTGGACTGACTCGGGCAGATTAGCGAATGGCACTGACTGCCATTGACAAGTTGTGCTGTAGTGTCCTTTTTCACCACATGTGAAACAGGTGACACTTGGCTTAGCGTCGCCAGGTTCGGGCGTTGTCGGCGTGCGGGGTCGCGAGGGCGGCCGACTAGTGTCCGACGTACAGTCTGTGGCATTTGAGCTGCCACCAGCTTATACAGTTCCGAATGGGAGCGAAGCCCATTGACCAGATAATGAGCTTGCATCTTTGGGCTCATTTCGTAATCTACGTCGGCAATCAACTCGATGACGGCCTCGTAGTAGTCGTCGACCGTTTCCTTACAATCGTACATGCGGTTAGCCAGCTGCTGCGCCGCAAAGAACTGCCGATCTTTGTCGAAATACTTGTCCTGCAGTTTGGCTTTCCAGTCGTTCCAGCCTAAACCCTCGGGAAACAATTGCACCATTTTATCGTAAAATCTGGCAGCGTTACCCTAGACTAGAGTGCATTAATCAATTCAATGCACTTGAAATAATCATCCCATCCATTTTTTACGGCTACCGCTTCATAGCGCTGAATCCAGCATTCGATGCGCTCATCTTTCTCCCCCTTAAAGACGGGGGTTTTAACCCGCTGGTCTTTCTGTACGTACGAAAAGCCACGTGAGCCGTGAGCTGGCTCAAAAGGCGGTGGTGGCAATGCCATTGTCCGCCCGGCCAACCCCGGTCTCGGCAAATATGCTTCGTCTGAACCGTCTCCGAACGCAGTATTGGCATCCATTGGGGGTGCAAGAAAACGGCCGCCAAGCCGACCGTTCGAATGTCCACGCCCTGTAGCAGAAAACCCTTGAGGATAAGCCTCGGAAACGGGCCATCCCTGAAAATATGGGGTCAGGAACGCGGCAACCTGCTGAGCCAGCCCAGCTGCCACACTTCCTGATTCATCGTCGCCATACACAGCACTTCCTAAAGCCAGCGGCCGCTCATCGAAACAGGGACCACTGCCAGCACTTTTACGTTGCGATCGGACAGGCGGCACCGGTCCGACGCTCTGGTTTCCCGACAAATGTGGACGAAAACTCCGTCGGCTGTCTAGCTCTTCGACGTCTAACCGGAAGAGTTTTGCGCGCAGCTCATCCAGCTCCTTTTTGAGACTGATGTTTTCGCGGTTTAAAGCATCCCTGTCTGTATATAATTGCTTCGGATGGGGAATGACAGGCTGCCGAGGTTCGCCACGCGGTATATCGTGTGGTACGCCCAGCTCCGGTCTTCGAGCCATGTCGTTCTGTTCCTGAGTCGCAAAGGAATGTTGTACCGGAACACCACTGAAGCGGCGTTGAGAAAATATACGGTCTGACATCTCTGAATCGTCGAAACACGGCAGCGACTGCCTGGGTGCGCAATCTCTGCGGTCGACGGCCTTGTCGCGACGATCACCGGCCGAAGGCGATACAAACTGCACTGAATTTGGTAGGGAGGCCCTTTTACTTCTTGGCGGTGGCCTCGGTCCGCTGTTACCAAAAATACCGTCCCCATGAACTCGAGACGAAGGCAGGGGACTGCTGTAGACCGCCGGTAGTTCGGCGTTTTCCCCGTCGTCTCCTACCACACCCTCAAGCCTGAAACCGGCCGAGGGCAGCGCGTAATTCTCTTGAAATGCCTTCATATTGTTTTCCCAAGACTGTGGTGCACTAGTAGAGGGCATACCGTCCCCAGAACCTCGATAAGCAGCCCGGGAACTGCTAAAGCCCATTGGCGGCTCATCATATTCTGCCATCGCGCTATCACGTCGAACACCGTTCGGTGTTGCATTTTGTTGCCCGGAATTACCGTGAGATGCCCGTTTATTTTTTGCTGTAGGCTTTGCTACGCTGTTTTGAGGAATATTATTCACATGCACTTGAATAGCAGCCCGAGGACTGCGAAAGACCGCCGGTGGCTCTTCGTCAACGACGTCTTCAACTACTGGATCAGCGCGATCGTTTTCCGCGTTAACATTTAACGGGTCTTGCACCGCGTTCACTTCGTTGTACCTTTCTGATTGTTCTTCCATCTGAAATCGACGGCCACTGCGCAGAGTCATTGGCGAACTACGAATTTTTCGCTGGGTTCACCGATACCGGTATACACGAGGTGGTGATTGTTAAACAGGAGCGCCACTTGTCACAAGGGCAATGCGATACCCCCGTGATTTTCTAGGTTTTCCCCACTGCGGAAAAGAACGGGACACGACAAATTCACTTTTGTTACGTCTCCCAGCAGATTTACTGCTCTGCATCAGAAGAAAAGCTAAAAAATATAGAAAATGGCAGAAAAGCAAAAACAAGAATCCCTTCTAAGTCGTCGTGCACGCATCATCCCCCCGACTTCTAACGTAACAGCCACCCGATACATAACATGACAGTACTTTGTGTAAAGTATTGTACAGTGTGCATCCATCTACATGAATTTGTGAAGTGTCTGTGGTTTGTGTAAAGCCACTGCACAGTGTGCATCTATGCCCATATGCCGTGAATTCCGTTTGAAAACGTTTGGGAAATGGGAACGTTTAATAAGTCTTTCGTTTTTTAGGTAGCTTATCGCATGAAATAAAGATAGTGCCCGAAAAGGTAGTGTATTGAATAAAAGATAGCGCCAAATGCAGTAACGGTAATAATAGAGTGGTAATAATTTGCACAGAGCGTGAAGCGCGAGATTATCCCACGCTAGCTATAGAGTTATTTAGTTATTACAGTACTTTATTTAGATTTTTTATATGCAGTACTATATACAAGCCGGTCCGGAGTTAGAGCACGATAGAGAACAGCTAACGCATAATCAGCGCGATGTTAGCGCTTAGCACGATGGCCACTACAGTACGTCTACTACAATGCGTAAATGCGCTCTGCAGTTAGATGCCCCTTACTGCACCGGCCGTTTTCTAGCCGCTGTTTACACTCATTAAAATATATGGCGTGCACCCGCCTGCGCCTGCTGTTTGAACTATAATTAATACAGTGTAAATGAATCTAGTAAGGCGTCCCATACGCACTCTTCTGTCAGCTACTATCATGGATATTAGGGTCAGCAAAAAGAACAATTGCTCAGTGATTTACCATCTCTCCGTGTAAATTGTAATTCGTTTTCTAAGTTCACGTTTTATGGACTTCCGGTCAGTTCACGGAATTTTCCTGAGGCCTTGAGATTCTGTGGACCTACCATTATATTATTTAGTTAAAAAACAGCAGCCCCAAAAACAGAATTACAAACAGATAAAAAAACGATCTGCATATACTTCTCTAATTATTTCCAACTTTGCTTCGGTCTTTTATTGCTAGCGAAACAGCGGTACGCTTCCTTAGTATTACTAAAGTAACAAATAGCAGCCACAGAAACAGACTCACAAACAGATAAAGACACAATCTGCTGATACTTTTCTAAATATTTCCAGCAGCAAAATATTTCCTGCTATATATTTCTAAATACTAATATATTCCTAAATATTAAATATTTTCTAAATATTAATATATTCCTAAATATTTCCTGCTATTGAATAATAGCACTTTAGCGAATTTAGCGTTCCCGGATGCGGTACAGAGCCAAAATAACTACAGCCTGGCCATGCCAAGTTCGGACACTTTTCCCCAAAAATTACTACAAGCCGCCCGTCTAGAATTAAAACCGAATTACAATTTTTTATGATCCGCGTATGAGTCCAGCAACTTTTGCATTTAAGGTTTTTGAGCTGAAATCATGTCCAGAATTACAGTAAGACTGAAACTAGAACGGACCAGCTCCGAAAAGCGACTCGACCCATCTGTTCTGGGATGCAGCTCCCATTTAACAAATCGCTTAAAAATTCCACACCTTTCCTAGCCTAGTCTAATTAATCTCATAGTATTGGCCAATCAATTCTCTTCCAGACGACGTCTAACGCAGCCCGATTTCTACCAAGACTACGTGACCTTTGCAGCCTTCCTGCGGGCACCTCCAAAATGTGGGATGACCTTTTTCGGGCGCTCGCAGTACAGCCGTGAGCGGTCGTAACTACCTGATCTTGATAAAATCTTGTTTATGAATGACTTATCCGACTAATTTAAGTTTGCCGTTCCCACAAAAAACCCGATGCGTTTCGTACCAACGAATTATGATATCAATCATAACATTTTTTAGTCACCGCTTTGTTAGATTCTTCTTCCAGTTGTCCGACACTTGCATCTTCCCGCATGTATAGCAGATAGCAGTCAATTCATTATAATCTTGTTACTGGACCCATGTTTCATCTATGGAAATGGTCAACTTCAAATCTCCTACATTTGTGCGCTAGGCAACCGCGTTGATCCGCAGGTGTGTTATAACACGCAAGTCTATGGGAGACAAACTTTGAGTTGGGGTTACATCTAGGGCCAATCGCGCAGGGCTGAGTTGCTGAATAGTACAGGACACCCTTTGAGCAGTTATATAGTTTTCAAAAAAATTCACTGAAAAATTCAGTTTCGTGAAGTTTCTAGAGAGACAGTTATAAGAACCCTAAAAACGACCACTGCCCCGCCCACTTAATCACCGCCTACCTGCTTAGCGATATGTCAGAAGATTCCAGTTTTAGTATCGCTAGATCCGCAATAAAAAGTTACACTAGAAAAGTGTTAAAAGAGAAACATAATGACGAACAGAAGTATTGTTAAATTTATTTTATGCAAGTGTCCGAACTTGGCGTGGCCAGGCTGTATTTTAAAGCTAAAGTGTCCTTTGCTCATGTATAGAAAGTTTTATTAATAATATTAAGCCTGTGTGCATGCATGCTTTACTGCATCCATAAAAGCTTAAACTATTGCACTAACTTGACAGGTATGTACTAGACAGGTACTGGCTGTCATATTCTTTTACCGACACGTACAATTTATCCACGTATTTTTATTCATTTACGTAATAAAGATCTCAGTAATAAGAAACGTTATGTGTTTTTGACTGATACTATTATGAGAAGTCATTGGACTAACTCTACCTTCTTCTGATTTTACCCAAATTCGAATCGATTCAAAAAGGACAGAGGAATATATGTACCATAAGAAATTAATAATTTGCTAGTAAACTGCATATTCAACAAATCGTAAGAGCAAACAATTAAATCGCTTCAACTGTACCGAAACAACAGCATTCAATATAATTAAAGGCAATATTCCATCATGAAAACGAGAAGAAATTTCAACTTAGACGTTGCGCTACGCAAATAGAAAATTAGTATAAACGATTGCATGCAGCTTAATTAATGAAGATAAAATGAAATTCGGTGTCCAGTTATTCAGTTAATGTTACTCAGTTATTAAGTAATTACTCAAGATTGAGTGGAAGCACAAGTCGGCAGTCGCTATCATAGCGTTCAGGCAGTAGGAGCAAACTTCTGCTTCTTAGTCTGCTGCTGATATATACCATCATCTTCGCTGTCGCTGTCTTCGTCCTCCTCTTCCTGGTAATCTTCTGGCTTTCCATCTGTTACGTCAACCACATCCGACTCACTGTCACCATTAACCACAACTTCATTTCCGTTTACTACCATTTCGTCACTGCCGACACTACCACCCGAGTTGGCGTCTTCACTGTATTCACTTTCATTCTCGCCATTAGCGCTAAAAACACTGCCTTCATTTTCAGTGTCGTGCTCGTCAGTAACACTCGAAAACGGGCTCTGCTGTTCTAAAATTCGAGCGATATGTCCCAAATTATCTTTTAGAGACGGTCGCAAATTGTAATCGGCGTCATAAGCTTCCGCGTAGTCGGCTACCGTGACTCCATGTGTACCAAGGATAACCGCCAGCGTGTCTGATGGTGGACTTTTAAAATATACGATAGCTGTTCGGACCGCAGAATTTTCGTTCTTCCTGTATTGAACATCTCGAATTTGCCCCAATCCCTGACGTTCCAGGTCTTTTGCCAGCTTAATGAACATTTTAGGTTCAGCAAACGAGTAACGGTTCTTGCCCCGCGTCGCTTCTGATACGATCTGCGGGATCAACAGCTTTCCCGGGATGAGGAGCATTTCGGCCTCCTTAGTTGCAGCGATGTTTTCATTGTTGAATGTACGCAGCACGTTGTTACTGGTGCGCACATATCTGATGGCTCTTTCAATCGTTTCCAAAGTAACCTCCTCCGGAATGTCAATGATCCCGGTTGCGGTGAAGCTTATGATGGCATTCTCGAGAAGGTGCAGCACCAGTGTAACCTTGAGTGTCATCTCCTCTTCTTTTGAAGATGCTGGGATGGTGTATGCCGCATTTCTCCCAAGAATGTTTTCCCGTCGACATTTCTTCATTTGATCGATTTCTTGGGACAGCTCCAAGTAGCGTTCAAGAGCTTCCGGTGACAAGACAATGTTAGCCATATCCACCTGTTCTCGACAGTACTGGTAAAAGGCGGTGAATGTTGCCTCAACATCAAACGGGACTGCCGATTTGTTCAGTTTGTGCAGGAGATTGGTTCTTGCATCAACAGTATCATCCGCAATTGCTGAATACAGCCAGCGTTCCTAAAAAGTAAAAATTATCTCAACTTTGGCATGCTTGGAATCATTTTCCGGTGCAGCTGCGTTATACCAAATTCGAACAAGTGTTCAATAGAAAAAAATTGCAGCACCGTTTTGTATCTTTCTAGTTCTCAGCCGTGACCTTGTATTTAAGACACGTTGGCCATTATAAAATTTTTTACTAATTTAAAGTTAAGTAGCTAATGAAAATGGCCCGGTACATGGTACCTAATTCGTGTACAGTACATGCAAGAAAACTGTCATTTGTCCATGTGCACATGGAAGAAAACTGCCAATTTCGCGCACTACCAAACACCTCTTTGCTTTATTTTATGACATTCATTAGCCAGTTAACTTGTATACACAACTGCAAAAACCGTTTACAAATCAACTGGCTACAGCTTATGATCAGCGCTACAGCTTATGATCAGCTTTTGCACTTAACCAGCGTTCCATTATCGATCGAACTTTCTTAAATTTTAATGGAAGCTCGCATAATTGCGAAGATTGATTTCACCAAACCAGAAATAAAATTATTTTTGAAATTGTCTTGTAATTATTTTGAAGTGCCACATTCCACGTGCCACGTTTTTGTGCACATTCCGCTGTTGCCCGGCATCATCCAAATAATAAAAATTATTTATTTATTTCAAAATAATTTTAATCGTGGTTTGGTGAAAAAGTTTTCGCATAAGCCAGACCATATTTACTATTACATTATGGCTGCGTGTACGGGTAAACACGGGTTTTTTGATGCGTGCAGGGGTGATATTTTTGGGTCCGCACGGGTGTTGGCTGGGTGCACGGAGTTTGGGAACGGGTGTTGGCTGCGGGCACGGGATTCCTGCACGGGCGTTGCCTGCGTGCATGGGAAATTATTTAAGTTGTTTAATTTAAATTTATTTGTATAATTTAGTTATAAATTTTTTACATAATTACTACTTATAATAACCTACTCGCTTAACCTAAAATTTCTCAACGAAAAAATAGATACTGCCAGTACTGCGAAATTTGCTGTACATAGCAAGTGGAGAGTACTGTGTTGTTGAAGTACTTCTTAGTGCAGTACCACGAAGTACTTAAAAGTCACTGTAAGATGAGCCGAAGACGTGAATCTCTGTAATGTTTTTTCCATGAAGATTCGAAATTCGAAATCATAAAAAATTGAAATAGCCGTGCCCACAGCTAACACCGTGTGGATCCAAAAAGCTCACCCGTGCACGCAGCCAACACCCGTGTTTCCCCGTGCACGCAGCATCGACCTTACTATTATGGTGCCAACTGGATGCGTGCACAAGCAGTTTATACGTAACTTAAACTACATTTATACGTAACTTAAATACATTTATATTTAGCTGATTAACCACATGGAATACAGGTTTTGAACAAAAAAGCGAAAGTTTTAGTGTATTAAAAGCGAATTAAAAGCGCAAAATGGTCACCTCGTCACGACGTCTATATCATCAATATGATTATATCGTGAAACAGAATTTGCTGTTACTGGCATAACAGCGCTAAATAGAGCCTACACTGCACAGTGCATACGTACTTGAGGTATTAGCCGGCCTTCCGAAGAACTTCCGCTGAGCCAACGCCCCGATCGTTGATAGCGGCTGCATACAGAACTTTTCGATTGCGACTGATTTGCCACTTCCCGGCGTCCCGACTGTAAGCATAAGCAGCGCCGGCGTAACGTGGTGTTCAACATCTTTGTGGGTTTTCAACGCAAATTGGCCAGCCGAAAGTGTTGCTGTAAGTCCCATTAGTGACATCAAAATAGCGGCGTCCTTCGTACGGTAATCTTCGGCAAACCATTTGAGAGCACTAGCGAGGGCAGGCGAAACAATATCAGGGCAATGGTGGGATGCCGATCGGACAGCTCGCAGGTGCATTTTCTCAGCCAGCTCAGCTGGTACTGACTGGCATGACTTAGAAGATGTACGGTACATTCTTTGGATGCCGGGGAACTACAGTAGGTATCACGCAACGGACGCTGCCTATCAACACCAAAAAAACAAAGTACGCCAAGCCGTATTAAAATTTAGATTTGGCGAGCCAGGACCCGATTCGTGCTTTAATGTTTTGACGAACTTCGTTGCACCAGCAGGATCTACCAAACGCATGCAAGTAGAGCTTCAGTTGCTTCGCAACGTTAATTAACTATTAATTTTTTGCACTGTAACTACGTATGGTGGATGCAGCTGTTGAAAGTTTGCGAACATTACTCGTACACAGACTGAGTGTTACTGTAACAAAACAGTTCTTTGCCGACGAGTTGCCTGGAAACAAAAGTGAGTCTGCTGTTGGGAGGCAATGGGAGCGTAAGGATCAATTTGTTTTCTTACGAATAGGTTATGACGACAAGGAATTTAGCATTCAGATTTCAAGTGCCCAGTTAAGCCTACTACGTCTTAACTGTGCTGTTACATACTAACTGCCACGCTTGACGAGCACGCCAAAAATGGTAGGCAAAAACAGTGCTACGATTTTACAATGTCCGTTTGTACAAGCTTGTAGCACCGGTGCTCATCGTCTGCTCGTCGAATCCCCCTAGTGCTGCTATTATGTTAATAAAAATTACTGTGTTTGCAACATTGGTTCATAGTAAAAAACAAAAAACAAAACTGCCAATAACAAAGCTGAACCTGACAAATTATATTATTATGTTTTTATGTTATTAGCTGAACCTGGCAATTATTATGTTTTAATCTTGCTATAACAAAGTTTGAAGTTGTGCTCTAAGGTTACGGAAGCTTAGCCCTAGTGCCGCTTCGTAGAAGGGAAATGCAAGACACAATTGCAAAAACCATTTTGCAGTGTTTAATGGAATGGAGACTTCCACAAGTACAGACAACAAACTACTAATAAGAACGGAACGATGTTCATATTAAAAAGAAAACGCCATAGTTAAAGAGAACGATATTTTCGATACGAACGCAGATACCAGGGTAATTCAGGATATCGGGCCAAGAAAAGTAAAAATTTTGTTGTCTGATCTGCTGCCGCTTCTTGGAAGTAGAAATAGGAAGAGACATAAATTTTAATAGGATACGTGGAAAAAACGCTAAAAGTTAAGCGAGAAAGACCACGAAAATTGTTTCCCGTTGTTATTGTCCTGATGACAGTTCAATTCAATGTGCCGGTGCCATGGCGCTACCTGTTTCAAGAATCCTTGCAGCCAATAATTGTCCGCACGAACCGTAAATTCATGAACGAAAAAACAGATTTGAATATATACGACGCACATGAATGACCTGTTGCGCCTTAGTCTGCATTTTGGTGACAGATAATGCGGACGTGGTGGGGTTTGCATATCGATCTCAGTGACCGGCGTAGCGGCCATACATTTCTGTTTGCGAGCTTAAGTAGAGTTTCGGGGTTAATATGGTGTTTCATCATTTTTGCACCCTTATTACTACCTCTTTTATCTAAACATTCCAAGAGCATTGTCAATGGAATAGAGCAAATTTTTTATGAATAAATTCAAGAGTGAACATAATTAACAAACGCAGTGTTGTAAGATACTTTTCTCGTAAGTTCAGTGTTTCGAGCTGATTACCGTACAATTTTTTGAGTTAATTGCACTGCTATGTCTAAGCCCGACAAAACCGCAAAAATATCGACCGCAAGTTACCTAATGGAAACTTCACGAATAATTTTATAAATGCAGGTTAAACAGCAGTTTTTTTATGCGTATATGACAGCAGAGTTTTTATGCGTTTTTTGCAATTCCGGTTTACTGTTCGCTGATAACACATCCCGCACGAGCCACGAGCTCACTTCTTTAAGACCGTTACTACGGTTTGATCCGGAACAAAAACCAACTGAAATGGTGAACTGTAACCACCATTAAACTCGGGGTTAGCGAACACGACCTTAGGAGATTTCACACTGATAAGATAACCATTCTTCAACACGCTCTTAAAATTCTCGACTTTGTCCCACACTCGGCACGCAATTTTTCCCGTTTCATCTTGGCCATCTAGCAGAATGCACTTTTTGCCGTTTTCCGTATCCTTGGGAGTGACATTGCTCAGTGTAATTCAGCTCTGCAAAGCAAAGAACAACACCGATAGCAAAATTACTTTCTAAGAAAACAAACAAAATAATTGAAAATTTTCGACAACTTTCGGAATCTGTATCTCGCTTCACAAGTTTTGAACTACATTTTGCGCGCACTATCTGAAAGACTTATAACTTACTACATAAACTCGTATCATTCATTGAGATAGCTACTTTTTGGGTTTTTATGTTATTTACGAACTTATGTAAATTGTAAAAGAAATTTACTAAGCACACCATAATTTTGAGAAATTTAAAAACAAGACCCAATAAGACGGATATTCACAGCACGTACAGAGGTAAATCCAAGTGCACTTTCATAAATGGCATTAATTTAATTTTATTATTGAGAAAATACCCAATGGCTGGTTATTCTGAAGTTATAAAAATTTGTTAAATGCCGCTAATATCTCGGTTATTGTTTTTTTATCGAAATTGGCACATTTGGCACATCGAAAGTTTTGTGCCAAAATCAGATACATGGACGAAAACTTTCACTTTTGCGCACTCTCAAAAAGTCTTTGTTTTAAAACATTTTATTGCCAGATACTTTGTATACTTAGACGTAAAAGCCGTTTGTGCGTCAAACATCCGGATCGGGAGCTGCGGCTGTAAGAAGATTCCTAAAGTTTAAAATGCATTTAGGTGTACCAAAAGTCTCGTCACCAACCGATATTCTTTAAATTTTGCATGAAATCGCACATAAGCAAGAAGAGCGTTTTCACACCAGACCATAGTTCTACCAGATTTTTTGAATTTCAAGATAAGTTTTAGCGTTTTTGAAAATCATTTTAAAACCTGAAAAAAATGGTGTAACTTTGGTTCTGTGTAAAAACGATCTTCATGTGTAAATGCTTTTATGTGCAAAATTGAAGGACGATCGGCACATAATGAGACCTTTGGTTCACCGGAATGCATTTTAATTTTAATCCTCCTACAGCCATAACTTTCGAACCGGGTGTTGCGTTCACAAACGGCTTTCACGCTTGTGTATAGATATCAACCGGCTGCAGAATGCATGTCGTAAACAAAACAAAGGATTGTTAGGAGTGCGCGAAAGTGAACGATTTTGTGCATGCACACCAATTTGGTTCCATGTACCGGGCCACGTCCCTTAACCGTATATTGGCGCCCGCCCAGTGGTATATCGTTTTGAAAATAATTCGTTATGAAAGTTTGTTTGAACGATCGAGCAATATTAAGTAAATAGGATAATTCAATTAAAAGTACCGCCGCCGCAAAAAAACTGAAATTCAATCAAAAGTACCGGAAAATTCAATCAAATGCCGCACTAATTATAAACGGCACGTAATTCAAACCAAAAGTGTAAATACCTTTCCATTTTTTCGCCCAGATCAAAGATGTCAATTTTGCTGGTCTTCAAATTACATGAATTTTTCGCGGTGATGACTTCTGGCATTGGCCACTTTGCCGTTACGTGTTCGCGCAAGTTGCAGTCAAACTTGACAAAGTTGATGTCGTCAACCACAATAATTCCTCTGAAAAACAGCATGATATTCATTACTTTTAATTTTAAATTACATCTGCATTTATCGTTGATTTATACATTAATTATTCTTCATTAGTTGCCCAAAAAGCGAAGAGTACTTGGGGCAGAAGAAGTGACAGATAGTGAACCGTTTGAGAGGTAGCAAAATCTTACGAACGAAATATTTGTTAACTTAGTTGTATTCCGAAACCACGACTCAATTTGTTTGCTACAGATAATAGCAGCACTGAATTTTTTCGGTTAAAAGTCACTTCGGCCGCTATTCACTTCGGGCACAGTACATGGCGACCGAAATACGGCTTACCTGAGCCTCTGTTCTGCAGCGAGTGAGTTCTCATCATACAACTATTTTTGTTATTTTTTCCATCACTATTTACACGAAGTAATTTGTGAACAATTTTTAACGTCTGGCTCTCAACATCTTGTTTCCCTTACGCATTTGATCTGATGAACACCTCATAAGATCGATCGCGCGAAATCTACTGTGCTAAAACTAGCAGATATGCAAGAGTCTTAAACTAACAGACACGCAATGGGCACGGTAGGCATATCCTGAGAATTACGCTAAATGCCTTCAGATTAAGGGAAGTGGACCGGTACATGGTACCAAATTCGTGTACATGCACGAAAACTTACTTTCGCGCACTCCCAAACACTTTTTTTGTTTCGGTTTATGACACTCTAGCCAGATGATTTGTATACATTGGCGAGAATACCATTTGTGCATGCAACATCCGGTTCAGGAGTTATTGCTGTCAGAAAATTCCAAAAAGTTTAAATGCGTTCACGTGTACCAGAAGTCTAATTATGGACCGATCTCCCTCATATTTTGCACGTAAATGCACATAACCACAAAAAACGTTTTTACACGGATCCACTGTTCTAGTATGTTTTTCAAATTTTGAAATAAACTTCAAAAATTTTAAAATTCATTTTGAAATTTGAAAAAAATCATGGAAGTCTGCATCGGACCGATCGGTGTAAAACCAATCTTCATGGTTATGTGCATTTACGCGGAAAATTTGATGGAGATCGGTCCATAATCAGACTTGTTACACCTGAACGCATTCAAACTTTTTTGTATTTTCTGACAGCCTTAAATCCCAAACCGGATGTTGGGCGCAAAAACGGTTTTCACGCCAGTGTATGCAAGTCTTCTGGCTACAAAACGTCATAAACCGAAACATAAATGTGTTTGGGAGTGCGCAAAAGCGAAATTTTTCGTGCATGTACACGAAATTTGCACCATGTACTGGCCCACTTCTCTTAAATATTTGAAGCCTCTTGCAGTTCTCTCATGAGTTTTCAAAAATCTATTTCTAAAAAGACTTGTACGAGTATAAGTAAAAATCGTAAAATGGACAACTAGCATTACAATCTGTAATATGGGTACGGGCCGGGAGTTACCCGTTACATACCGCCGTGATCGCGTACCTGCACAAAACCTTGTGCTTTTGCGTACACCCGAACACTTTCTTGCATTGTTGCCAAATGATTTGTAGGCATATCATGAAACAGGTTTGCATGCGCACCAGTTCAAACGTAGGAAAATTCAACAAAAAAACAAAATTCAAACAAATAGTAAAACTAAATTACAAAAGTACATATTACAAAAAATGTACTGATAGAAAAATGTTACGTAATGTTACGCAAAATGTCACGTAAAATGTTATGTTACCTCTCGGCGCACAGAATTTTAATGAAATTTTTATTCAGTAAGCTAGTTATGAGGTTACCAGTGCAAAAATTACAAAAATCTGATGAGAAAAGTTTTGGTGCAACCAACCCTGCACTTGCCGAAATGTATGATGAAAATTTGTGAAAATGTACCTTTCAGTGACGTTGAACCGTTCAATGCTAACGACGGACGGTGTCGCCAGTCCCTGTAGGAATTTATTCAACTTCTTTGGGAACGTGATCTCTAAAACAGGCAAATAAATTCAAATTAAAATAAATTATAGGTAAGTGTCATTTAGACTTCTCACAGTGCTATTTCTGTGACAGTTAGATGAACTAGCGCAGTTTATTAGAAGCTTCGATGCACGCAATTATCTGCAGATACGCTTCCTTTAGAAATAAGTACATGTACTCTAACTAACATAACTTTTGCACATTATTGCCAATAGCCAGATAATTAAAACGAACGCTAAGCAGCCAGATAATAAAACGTGCGTCTTTTCAATGCATCTGTATAGAATACCGGGTATGAGTGTAAGTGACCACATATTATCATTTTAGCGCAAACGGGCGCTAACCACGTGATGGTTAAATAATTTAATTACCTGATGTCGCCTGGAACTTATCCCGGATCAGCAACGTCCACTCGTTATCTTTCACCCGTTTATTCGTAGCGAGCACGGGGAACGCGTCGCCACGCGTACCCGAAAAGACCTCCTGCAACGGATAACTTCGCCATAAATTTGATTGACCATATGCAGCCGGCGGTACAAGTAAGGTTACCGATAAAACGGGTTTCGAAAACATGTCGTCCAAACGGCTGAATTCGTGTTCGGGAGATGATTTCGCAGCCACAACGGTGGTAACCGAAAATACCGAGGCAGGTAGCACAGCATCGTCGTCATCATCTAAACACGGTGTAACTGCCCTGACTTTCGGTGTTTTATTCGCACGTACGCTAGAAGCTGAGCGTTTTCGAGCGTCCGACATATTTCCTGTTAGCGGTAAAAAATTTGTGGGATTTAGAAATTAATGAAACAAGAATGTGAACGTGGCAACGAGTTCGTTGGGTAGGATTTTTGTACTGGATTCGGCAATGCTGGCATAATAGTACCCTAACTCAAAGCTGCAGTTAATTAGTCACCAAGCAACCACAACGCAAACTATGAACATGTGAAATTGTGCTCACAATTCACTCTTTTAACTTATTACAGTCTCTGACTAAAAGTAAGTACAACATTGCTTACTTTGTGCCAACTGTAACAGCGCATCAGACTCAAAACGCGAAATATTCGACACCGGCCACCGTTTCTCTGTTCGACATGCAGCCGAATGACATCTTTGCTGCAAGAGATTGCTGCCCAAAACATGAGTATAATAAACATGATTTGACCGGTGATTTCGATTTACGACACCGCAGAAAACAAAATATTGCGAATAAACCATTACAATATTACTTCTCATTTTTGCAAAAATTCGGCCATGAGCATTAAGGTCATAAGAAAATGCCCTTTTCAGCACAGCGCCGACCTGACGTTCAAAGCCAAATAATCCATGACATAAAGTAGGCGGATAAGAAATACGATGATGCGTTGGTTCGTAATAGCGCGAGATATTGTGGGCAGGTGACACTGGCAACTTGCAGACATTTATCAAGCTCACACAAAAAAATTCGTACCGATCCATGGGCTACTCCTGTGATGTTAACCAATGCCGCTTTAAAACAGTGCTTTGACCGAACTTAGCACATCCGTACATTCTAAATTGCTGATTTTTATTATACGGATTAGTGTCTATCATGTTTGACAACTGCACCGTGTCACACCCTTTAGCCACTTTATGAGCAGTTTTTTTCAAATTTTCCACTTCATCAAAAACGATGTCCGGAAAAATCGAATGGTAGCTGGCTTTAGATTTACGCGAACTGTCCAGAACAATCACTCTTTCTGTTCCTATCGTTCGTTTCGAATACTTCACCAACTGGACCAAAAGCGCTTCAGCATGCGTCGCTGAAGACTCGTCAGTCTTCCATTCAACATCAAAATACAGCCGTTTTTTCCACTCTGTTAATATAGTTTCGAAAAAATAAGGTAGATGCTGAAACTGATTCGATATCAGCATCCACAACTGATGGGAGCTTGCAGCGATAAATTTTCTAGAGCCGCTGGCAGACTGCTCAAAGGAAAATATGCGCAAATTGTAATCAGCAGTCGATCGCACGTACTCTGCACAATCAATCAACTTCGTAAACCATTTTGCCATGTTATCAACTGTAATGCCGCATAGTCGCATAATAGAGAAAACACAATTAGTTTTCTAAGACGTTGTTAATGTGCAAATTACAATCTATGCCAGTATAATACAAGAAAAGAAACGGATATATGTACTAGCTAAATACCAGCCCCGCTATGTCATCCGCATGTTGCAAAATGCTAAGTTGCGAACAATTGAGCGATGCAGGGTTTAGTAAAGTATTCATATAGCAATCAAAATGAGATTATTCAGCAAAGACAAATACTATTTTACAAAATGCTATATTTGGCGCTGGTCCCAGCTGCAAGACAGCAGCCACAGTCGATCGCAACCCGACAAAAGGTCACGTTTTCCTTATCTCTGCGGGTCTAAGCGTGTGGTGTGCTGGCTGTCACAAGAATTTAGCGTAATTTCTGATGTTTCCTGCCTACTGCAGTAGCATAAAGGTTTTTTTGCATAATTTTCTGATGCTGGAGTTTTTTGACGAAATACTCTGTACTTTATTGTAAAACAGAGATCGTTATTCTCTGACTCTGATGAACATAGATGGGGAACGCGATGAAACACAACACATTTGTTGCGTAATGTTCCAGTCATCCACCAGGTGTGCAAAACGCATTTGGGCAAGCACTGCGATTCAAACTAAACTAAACTATCTTCCACATAATTTAGAAAACTTTGAAAGAGGTAATCCAAGTAGTGCAAGTTAATTTCTTTGTAATTATGTTACAAGGGACGTCTGCGACGTATTATCTTATGGGGAAGGCTGCGCACACCACGTTTTACCACCAAAGTCCCCGCACACCACCTTTCACCACGACCAGGCTTCGCACACCACCTATTTTTATTTTGCAATTTTTTGGTAAAAACCACCAAAATCTCCTAACACCACCAAGGACTGAGTGCACACCACCACGGTCTCTGGATACCACTTTTTTCTGAAAAATAATAATTTATGTTTATCACGGGCGAAACAGGAGTTTTTGTTCGCGCTTAGCTTCGAATGATGTTATTCTATTAAAAACTCTCTCAAGGTTTTTTTAGAAAACGAACCTTACGGTGGGCAGTTCCACCGATCAGCTGCGCAAACGCTAAAGCGAACACGGCTCAGTCTATTCCGTTTCCTTGGTTTTGGACAGGTTAACAGCTAACTGTGATCCGCTTTTCCGGCACTAACGTCCCGTAACGCAGCCATTGCCATATCTGTGCTTATTTAATTGCGTTACGTAAGCTGTATAGTCAGGACTTGGCGTGCTCTATATTGACGAAACCAAACATTGTAGTTTGCGAATCAAAACATTACGAAACAAAAACATCCAACGTATTTTACGTTAAAGTTATTCTTCCTGTAGGCACACAAAAATACCAACATAGCTCATATTAGTAGTCGTTTATACGAGTACAACCGACCCTGCATGTCTTTAAAATTACGAGTATTATGTGGTGTTGCAAAAAGACACCAAATTTTTTGGATAGAAGTTACATTCCCTAGTCGTGTCTCGGTACTGATTCTACTGCGCAAAAACGCACCAGAACATTATTTGAATACCTGAAACGACTTCAATCAGAGTCTCAGACGACTGTTTATAGCGGCCAAAGGATTTAGACAACGCGGCATAGCCGGCGGCCGCATTGGCTGAAGTGGCTTGAGCGGCGCGCGGAATTTCTGAATTCTGGCGAAGATTAAAGGCTTTTGCACTAAGCCCTCTATGTATGTACAAGCCTGTCCGGTAATTTCTGCCTGTTCTATACAGCGAAATATACAAATTTACGTGTTACGCCAAACGTAGTGAAGTGGTCATCGTTTTAAGCGCAAACTTCGCGCTAGCTGTATCTTTACGACAGAAATTACCGGACAGGCTTGTACAAGCTTGTCCGGTAATTTCTGACCAATCGATACAACGAATTTCACAAATTCACGTGTTACGCCAAACTCCATACTACCGCGCGCCACGCACTGTTTAAGCACGGAAGTTGAATTTGCTTGGCTGGTGGCTTGGTGCACGCCAGATATTTAAATGACAATAAACGTAAATGCCTGGTGGAAGGCGACTCGAAAACGGTCTTTGCAGGAAGGGACATGTCAACTGCGGAGCGAAGTTAAGGAATGTGATAGACGTAATAACGTGGCCATCGTTTCAAGCGCAAATTTCGAACTAGCTGTATCTTTAAGAAATTATGTACGGGCACACTTTTATATTATGTGAGCAAAGGTCTAGAAGTATGTGGTCTTGAAGTATGAAGTACTTTTTTTGCTCTTTGATTGAAAAAATAAGCAAATGTGAATGCATAATATATTCATATTTTACTTTCGAGTGCCAAATGAATACATCTGCCTTGAAAAACTAACAGCAGACAAAATTAATACGGACTTTTCTTCGTTGTTAATAATTAATCAGTTGTTTTTGCTGTCCGCTTGAAACGCTTATGCCGGCATCCTTCGCTGGGTCGACCTTTTGGTTGACGCACTTGCTCTTTGCGTAATAGGAGTCGCTTTCGATCGTTCACTTCCGCAACAATATTACCCGTACCCTGTATTTCTGGCAAGCGACTGCAAAGTAGTTCCTGTTCAAGTTTATTAAAGTAGCTGAGGATACATCCAAATTGTGCACCTCCAAAGCCTGCAGCAACGGAAGCAATTCTTTTGCAAACATCTTTCGATGCCTTATATCGTTGACCCAAGGTGCTGTGCGCTGGGCGTTCGGGACTGAGCTGTTCAGTGTCCATAAGAAATCCATCCGTCTTTCCTTGAAGAGCAGCCTTCAGAACATCTGGATGCAAATCGGTGGTGTCCGCACTGGTCACTGCTCGTCGCCATTTTGCGATCACATCGTCCATTGAGAACAATGGTTTTTTCAACATGCCACGCACGCTGAATATATGCCGGCAAGGCAATCCAAATGCGCAATTAATGAAGCAAGTGCAGCAAAAACTGATGTCCGCCTTTTGAATTTCGTATTCTCTGCATGGCGTCCCTTCAACTTTAACTATCCACTCACTAGGCCCCCCAGTTTCTACGGAATATGTTTCTACCAGATACATGCTGAACTGCTTCTCCACGACTTTTGCAGCAATCTTTGTAAGATCTCGACCAACAGCTTCCGCATATTCACTAATTGGAAAGTCGTGAATTATGAGTCGCTTTGAGGCGTTTACGTACTCGTTGTACGACGCAATGCTCCACTTCTGTAGTGTAACACCAATTATAATTTCCACGCACTCTTTTAAATGATATCGCGTCCAAACCGCTCTTCCAGAATAACGGAAAGCACTTTTTACCATGAGAAACCAACGTTCTATCCTGTTTATGGTGCGGTTCCCTCGTGTAGGCAAGTGCTTTCGATACGCGTGCGCCCAAAACTGTTTTGAGTTTTCCCAGTTTTTCGAATAATATTGCGCTAATTTCTGGGTCAGTTTGGTTTTCAGATTCTCTTCTTCCACTGCTAGCGCCTCATCATCGTATGCATACATTACACGTTTAAACTGATGCAGTATGTCGGTCTTCGTAGCTACAGGCAGGGCTTCTGAAGCTATTTTCGCTTTAAATGACTTCAAGGCGTGAAAGCAGCACAGCAGCAGATCTGACGTCGGAAATAAATCTTTCAGGACGCCAATCTGAGTAAAATCCTTATCAATGAATATGCATCGAATTTGTTGAACTGCGTCCCGGTTCGTCTGTATCAGTAGTTCGAACATCGACACTAGAGTCTGGCGTTTTTCGTTTGCCAGAAACGCTAAAAGGACAGGCTGACCGAATCCGTTTGCGTCCTCAACCACCACGCTAAAATAAAATAATTTATTACTAAAAATGACGGCTTTTAATTAATTTTTATTCAGAAATCAAACTTTGTTCACCGATTGTAATTTGTAGGTGCAGGTAAAGGAATATGCCATACTATGATGGCATATTCCTTAGCCATACAGTACGTGTCTATTACGTGCTTTTGTATCAATACTTTGTGCTCCTTTATCACTCGAATACTTACTGATAGTTCCTCCTGTTTGTAGCTTTGTTTTACTCGTAGACTAGGCACACGATTTCGCAAGCCAGACGGAAACTCCATTATCAAGTTTTATTTAAAAATCCTTAACGCGCTCTTGTTGCACGTTGTGCCTTTGATCGTCGCCAGTACCGTTATACAGCGCACGATCTTTTACACATTGTTATACAGCGCACGTTCTTTTGCTGTAAGATCGTGGTGCTAGTTGTGCGTTAGAATTTGAAGGAAATCAAGCCTGCACATGGTACTAAATTCGTGTACTTGCATAAAAAGATTTACTTTCGCGCATTCCCAAGCCCATTTTTTTACTTTTTTCAAAATTTAAATGAATTAAAAAAATTTTGATTATATTTTTAAAATTGAAAAAGCGGTGTTACTATAGTTTGATCACTTTGGTGTGAAAATAATCTTAATACATGCGAGCGTTTATGAGCGAAATTTGAAGAAGATCGGACTACAATGAGACATTTGGTCGGCTGAATGCATTTAATTTTTTTTAACTTTCCTTAATGGCGTAAGTCCAGAACCGGATGTTACGCGCACAAACGGTTTTCACGCCAATCCATGTAGATCAGCTGCCTGTAGAATGCCATAAAATAAAACCAAAATGTGTTCGACAGTGCGCAAAGGGGAAAGTTTTCGTGCATGTGCACGAATTGGGCACCATTTTAATACTGGGCCACTTTCCTTAGTACGATTTACCATTGCAATGCAGCCTTGGACTGCGAGTACTAGTACCGCGGCAAAGCAATACAATCGCAGTGCAGTAATACACAATCCCAGACGGATTACAATTTGACAGTGGTAACTAGCACAGTTTTTAAGAATCAGCCGTAGGTTTTAAAAAACCTTTATTTTAAAGCCGTAACAGTAGCTAGAGGGGTCATCGAATACCCTGGGTGCTGCTATCATTTCTTCGCAAACACTAAATTACTGTTGTGTACCGCGAAGTATGCGTCGGAAACCACTCGCCAGCCCACGGGTGTCGCCCATCGAAGCTGCTACAGCTGCGGACATCAAAAATGCACCGGCAAAGAAATACGCACGGCTAACAGCTTCACGAGAGCCTTTAAAAACCGCGAAAACGACGGTGACAGCTCTTTCGCTGGCCGTGATGACAGCTCTTTCGTTCGCCAGAAAATTTAATGAGGTTTTGAAGAGGGTAAAGGTTGGTGTACCAGATAAGACAGCGATCAAAAGGTGGTAGGAAAGTGAGTAACAACTAGTGAAAGATATTAAAAGGTGCGAATTGCCAAGAAAAAAAATCAATTAAATTAATTGACGTTATTAATTTTGCCTACTATTGCTCACCTGTAAAGGCAATAATGTTCGCAGTTGATTCTGTAGGTGCTATCCATGAAAATAGTTTCGGTGTGATCAAACAGTAACTTTTTCATCTCAGCAGTCTGAATGTACAGCATCTGCAACATGTTATTTCCTGATTCGTCTTTCTGTTTTACCAGACGAATGTCAGTTTCGGGGTTCAGATTCACCAACTCTTGCAAGTAAGCTTTGAGATTTTCTCCATGTGTTATTCCATTTCGCAAACGAGAATTCGTAGAGTGCACGTAATTATGAATATCCTTTGTTATAGCTTGCCCGCAAGCACCCGAAGATCGCCGTTTTTCGTTAACAGACTTGCATATTGTAGACCTCTGAACGTTGCACTGTACCAAATAATCGACATCAATTTTCTCCGCATCGCTTAGATTTCGGTTCTCTGGATAGAAATGATATAGCGACTTTTCAACCGCGTGATTATGGTCGTTCACACCAGGAAGCTTTAAAACCGTAACTTTATCCCCAAACAACTTGAATTTCACATAAGCATTACATCCTGTTTTAAACGTTGCCTGTGTTTTTCTGGTCGACACCACAGATTCTTTTCTATGGCCGCGATAATTCCCAGCATGTTTGCAAACCAGCTTCATGGAAGAGTATTTAAGCGATTCGTGCAAAGGGTCATCAGGCGAAAGTTTAGAATGACCACTAGCAACAACAAAAAGTTGGAAAGTTTCTGCTTCGTATTTCTTCAAAGCACGCAATTCATCATCGTAGTTGTCAAAAAGATCGCCTTCTTTCATCATTGTAAAACAATTGTCGTTATCTTGGGAACAGAAAACAAATAAAGTTAAAAATAATAGCAAAACAAATCAGTGATTAAAAAGCAAACGTACGGTTGCGTAGAAACGAAAAGCCATAAATGTTGGTTAAAACTTCGATTCAAAGCGTCAGTTATAGTGTCGCAGTTGTCCTTTTTCGTACAGAAGAAAACCTTGATTACACACGTAGCAAACATTCTTTATTATGTTCTGTTGCTCTAAATTTTCCTTACTCCTCTATTTTAAAAGCATGTACACTTTTTTTACTTGTTAAAGAACCTCCCGACCCCCAGGGGCCACATAAATTTCAGGGAAGGTAAAAAAAAAATTTACGTATGTTCTTATAGTCCACTCACGGTAATACGTACGGCGCATACTCATTGTCAGAGTAATACCCGGTAGTACAAAAGGCTGATACTTCATTCGATTTGTTGCTATGGAATACGGAGTATAAAGAGTATAAGACCGCTGTATGAGCCGCCTGCGCATAGCCACTTCGGGCAAGAAAAGGTTGAATCCGGGTCAGCATAGACTAAGCAAAGACAATAGCTGCGGAGCCATGCGATCAATTAGCAGATTAGCAGAACATCTCATCAAAAGACGTTCCCAAGCAAAGCCAATAGGCTAATACAAGCCAAGAAGCAGGCATATAACACGGTCACGTAACCACGCCAGCTCCGCTAATCATAAGGGAGCTCAGACCAGGCTCCTTTGATAGTTTTTGGAGTTAAGGCGAAATGGCGTGCTTGGGGTACTCCGTAACGATTTTTGAAAACAATTACCATTGATACAGTAACACGTAAGCTACAGGATGGCGTATCGGAAATAACAATCGGCCGTCTCCACTTAAAACAGTGAATTTTTTTCAACAACCGGTCGGTGAAAGAAAACTGAATTAAACCTGCCTTGATGCAGTTGTTTCTTTGTTCAGTAACAGCTGCCGCTGTTTAGTAGCCGGCGGTATCGGTTCGGCTTTGGGCTGATTTACACCGCGCGCGCTGCTTGTGTGGACGATGGCCACTTGGCGCAATCGTATTGTCAGACTGAAGAGTGCCGAGCAGTGATTATCATAAGGTTAGGGAATAATCAGTCGGCACAGGTACACTACCACATTTTATGGCTTTGTTATTTACACAGATGACCACTGTCAGTGCCAGCTGATCAATAACAATCATGGGAACAATCTTCACACGTGTAACAAATTGCTGAAGCGTTTCATCAGCAAGAGTATGATGCAGATTGCAGAGCAGTTTAACAGTATCACTCTAACCATGGTGACCGTTAGCATATAAATTTACAATATGCCTCGCATTAGAAGTCATGAAAAAGTTCGAAATTTCACCAAAGGAAAACAACGCAATACGACGAAGATTGGCAATTCTCGTGCTTTTCCTAAAAACATTCTGTTTGACAGTGATTTATTGAGAGATTTACTTGAAGGTGATTGTAACCATGTTGCTCATACGAAAAATGGTGCCGATGTCTGCAAACGTCAAAGCCGACTATCGATTGTTTCTAAATCTGGACTATCTTTTAAACTCAAAATTTCGTGTGGTAATCATTCGCGGGAATTATACTCGTCTAAGTTAGTGCGAAGTGATTATTATAAAAGTCCCCTGCGTGATTGTAATGTCTCTGTGGTCACTGCCGGTCTTCTGTTTGATATGAAACATAAGCGGCTAAGTGGATTTTTATCAGCAATTGGCCTGTGTCCACTGTCCGGGGGAGCATATAATCGAATCTGCAATTCAGTACAAGCGTGTTCAGAAGTCATTGCCGATGAAAGCAAACACAGGGCAGCCATGGAAGTGCGGCAACACCACGGCTTACGGGAAGGGGAAATCGGCAAAACAAATGTTTCTATTGACTGCTCGTGGATGACTGCTGGTGCTAAATCGACGCACGGCGTAGCCACCGTTTTATCAAGCATAACGCGGAAAGTGTTGGATACGGAAGTTTGCACCGTAAAATGTGAACACAAAGATTGCCCAAACAAAAACGGCAATTTGGATTCAATAACGGATCACAAATGTTTTGTGAATCACGCAGCAAGTTCCGGAACTATGGAAGGCATTGGATTACAGCGTGCTTTCGGGAGGTCTGTTCCGCAGTATCAGTTACAGTAAGTACAACACTAATAATATTTTTGTCATACTTGTATAGCACAACTCTGCAGTTGTAATCATATTTATTACAAATCAGCACTGCATTTTACATAATCTGGATTTAACTTCATAAAAACATAAATATGTGTGCACCCACAGTCGATAGCGCTATGCGTATGGATGGGTATGCGGAAATATATAGTATATTCTGCATACAGTATATACTCGTATAATTAGTTGTAATAAAAGTCCATAGCTAACTGTATATATACGCAGTGCCGGCTGAATGGTTGTTCACCGGCAATATGCCGAAGACATTGTGGTATGCTCGGCAGTACGAGCACTGTATGCAGATTGTAGTGCAGCGGCTGCCAGTGTATGTATATTATTAAAACCCACTTGTTTCATCACCAAAGCTGCGTCTGTTGGAAAGAATGACAAGCAGCGCCGCTTTTTGATTTATAGAGCGCTAGCCAAACAGATCTTGGTATGTTATTTTTATTTGCTGTGAAAGTGATCGAAATAATAATTATTGATAAGTAAAATATTCACTAATAGCACGTGGAAAAAGTTGTTAAATATGACCACGCAAAAGTCATCTGCCTGGCATATCCGGCCCCATTGCTGGAATACATTAGTAGTAAGGCAATAGGTCCGGCAGGGACACGTGATTGGTCAGACACGCCCCCTTCCTGATTGGTCAAACGCGCCCCCTTCTCTGATTGGTCAGACACGCCCCTTACTCTGATTGGTCAGAGCCGAACCGAACGGTCAGAGCCGAACCGAACGGTCTGAACCGAACCGAGACCGAACCGGGCCGGCTCCGCCTTTTAATCCAAGACTGAGACCGAGACAGGACCGCTAGAGTAGCAGGCTGCTGTGATTGGCTGGCTTCCGCCTCTTAAGGCCAGACTAGGTCGAGACCAAACCCGTGCATCATTGAATCAGGCCAATTATTCACGGTAATTACATTGTTTGTTATCTAAATAACAACCAGCAAACCTTCCCCAGCAGTTTTCCAGTGGAACCGAAAAGTTTCGCCTAAGTGTCCAATACAAAATGTTTTCTGAAAAACAGCTTACCAAGACGACAATATTATAGGCCGTGTTGTTCAATACTCACAACCACACCAACATGAACACGAAGTTTCTTGCTAGTGAGTTGAAAGGATTGGGCTGTTTTAGCCTCTTTTCGAAACAACAGCTGTTAACAGAAAAGATGTTTATTTCTATAGATAAAGCATGCGGATTAAACAGTAAGAAACATTAAAGCAGTTCGCGGTTGGTAACTTGATACTCCAATAATAAAAGGTGTATGTGAATCAAGCAATTTGTTTATTGCTTAGTACCAAAAGGTAGCGTTGTGAAGTCTGGAAGCAACATACGCTTGTCATACACCATTCTCAACTTCTTAAACAAACAAACGGTTTTAATTTCTTGTGTTTTGCCGTTCCGCTTGATGAATTCAGGATAAATAATTTGAACATGGGAGTCTGTCCCGTCCAACAGGCGCTTCAGTTGGTCGAAGTCCAAGGTCTGTCCGGTCCGGGCGAAGGACTTGGTGATTTCATTAAAACCCAAAATATCTTCCGTGTACTCGTTTTGGGTAAGACCTTTTGCCTAAGAGCAATAAATATTATATATACTGTACATACATAATTACTGTACGTTTACGTACCTTCAGCTCGATCCGGCCGGTGTCAGTCTCGTAGCTGTACACCTTGGGGCCGCACGACACGAACTTCACAATGTGACTCTCGCCGACGTGCAGTTGGTTGTCCCAGTCGCCTAGGATACTACCGATTTCCGGCACCCAGTCCCCAGGGCGGGTGAGGAATACAACGGAATCTGTATCATAGTACATCAGCCGGTCACCCAGTCTCTCTATCATGTCCAGGAGGATGAGGCGTGCATTGGCAGTAGTGAACGCTGCGAGGGCGACGTTCGTGGCGTTACTACCTTCATTGTAGTCTTCTCCCTTGGAGTAGGTCACCATGAGGCAGTCCTCGTTGATGGCAAACACATCATGAATTTCCACGGTCTTGGAGCGGATCATGTCCAAGTAATCCTTAGCCATGTAGACGAACTTGGTCATAGTCATATCATCCCGCTGTCCTTGCTTGCCCCACAAATAGTTCAGACAGTTCTTAGCCACATTACGGCGTCCAGCATCGTAGATCATGGCTTCCGGATCAAAGTCGATCCCCTCACGTTCTTTGACCAGGCAAATGAAGTCATCCTTCTGCTGCTGTGTCTTACACCAGCTCGGCCACCCGCTCGCCTCCATCTTGATTTTCAGGAACTTGTTGATGTACGCAGCATAAACACCGGCTTCTAAGATGTCCCAATGCCATACCTCGTGCACTTCCTGCACGATGTAACCCCGGTCGATGGCGTGGTGCTCCGGTGTGGTCCATACCCCCTCGAGGCAGCGGTCAGCGTCGCTATGCTGGCAATAGTCGTTGTTTTTAGTGTCCGCACACCAACGGCAAAGCGCAAACACCAATTTCTTGTCGATGGTTGCAGGAAGAACAGGATACAAGCGTTGCGGTGGCGGTAGTACCTTGCACGACACCATACCATAGTAATCCTTCACGTCCTTGAAATCCGACAAGATAATTGTTGGGTGGCCTATAGGGTACGTCTTGGTCTTGTTGACAAAAGGGTACAGGCTGACAACGTCGAAGTGCATAATCATTTCCCCCGGCTTCACTGCGTAGTACAGGCGACTGGCATTAGTACGACCACCTTTAAAGGCGTCCCGGGGATTCAGTGGCTCGCGGAGGTTTTGACCAGACAAAAAAGTAGCGATGTCCGTATCCTTACGCTCCCTTTTCCATTCACACTCCCACTTGGTAACTACTGTATACTTCTCATCTTCCAGGTAGCGTACACGGTCCAAGTATTCCTCGTACACTTCACTCATCTTTTTACGAGAGAAAGGGGACCGATCTTCTTCTTCGGTACATTCGGGATGTCCGTGGAATAAACAACCGTTATATTCGTACACTGTACGAGGACCGGCATCATAGCCGTCCACGTAATACGGGCCAATGTGCACTTCCTTGCCATTCCGACCATGCTGAATACGCCCACCCAAGTCACGGTTCAACATTTCCAACCACTGAGTTGCTTGAACACTGGTTCGTCGGTTCCGGTGAGGTCCATGGGAGGACAATACAGCTAGTTTCTCAGGTTCCAAATGAAAGGTACGGTAGTAACGGTTGCAGGCAGATGACATGGTGATACTATCCAGCGGGTTTAGATTAGTCAGAGCGACAAAATCATCAACGAACTTCAGGGCACAACGCCGGAGCACGGTGACGTCATTCGAGCAATTGGCCATGATTTCCGCACGGAAGTCGAACTGCCCACCCGCAGCGGCTTTTGCTTCAGCGTGCCACTTCAGAAATTCCTCTTTATCTTTCTTTTTCAGACCGTCAAAAACGTACATTTCCGGTTCGGGCCACGGTAGTACTTTATCCCAGTTTTCAGGTCAATTAAAGTGACGCTTGCCTGAATTCGTCGAAGGTTTTGCCGAAGAATATCACGTTGTCGAAGTATGCGAAGACGCCACCTTTCTTGCGTGCTGGCGCCATAATCTTGTCCATTGTCGTTTGGAATGTGGCTGGCCCATTGCAGACGCCAAACGGCATTCGTTTGAACTGGTACATTGAACCGTTTGAACCGGTACATTCGTTTGAACCGGTACATTCGTTTGAACCGGTAATATGGCCCTGAGTTCCCATCTGGAGTAACAAAGGTAGTGTAGTCCATGGACGCTGGGTCCATAGGGATTTGCCAGAATCCGGACTGACAATCTACCTTGCCGTAGTAGGCGTTGCCTGCACACTGGTCCAGAAGTTCATCTGGATTGGGCAATGGATAATTGTTCTTCTTGGTCACCGAGTTCAGCTTTATGTAGTTTATGCAGAATCGGGTGCCCATGGTTTCGTCGCCGTTTTTCTTCGAAGCGAGGACCACTGGGAAACTCCACGCTGCCATGGACGGTTCGATCACGCCTTGGTCCAGCATTTCCTGGACGTGCTTATTAATGAACTCGCGTCCCTTCCAACTTGTTCGGGTTGGGTTCATCTTGATCGGTGCAGCGTCGCCAACTTCTATGACGTGGGTCACTTCCTTAACGTCACCGTAAGGCTTTTTGGACGTGGGGAATAGGGCCCTGAGTTCTTATAAATCCTGACGGAGTAGAGCAGTTTGCTCCTCGGTCAGGTGGTCGCCAAAATGTGCGTTGGCGATGTGGGCGCGGATTTCGCTTTCCACTTCTGGATCTTCCTCTCCGGTTTAGAGGGATTTGATCTGGGCGAATTCTTCGTCCGTGGCCTCTTCATATGGCTCTACTCGGCCCATGTCCACTCCTTTGCGGAGTATATGGGTTTCTTTCGAGTAGTTCGAGACCAATATGGTGAAATTTCTGCCGTCATGCTGGACTGGTCCGTCGAGCATGGCCAGACTCCGTTTGGTGTCCTGGTTTCCAAGATACATGAGTTTCTGCCTTGGGTCAACGGCGGAGTTGATGCTGACTTGGACCGGTGTGATAGACTCCGGTGGGAGCTCCACTTTTACAGTTGCCCGGACCTTTGCGTAGTCAGTTATGGTGCGTTGTCTCTTAGGATTGTGTCCCGCCTCCTTTGGCCATGGTAAGGCGCTGGCGTTTGGTATGGACCAATCCACGCCGTCCTCTCTGATGTCTGGCTCATATATATCGCTATAATACATATGGCCGATTCTTGCACCTTTACGGAGGACTTGGTCGCGTAAAGACTTATTTTGGATCTGGATCCACGCGTACTCGTCCTGACGTGTTTCTACCTCCGCCTCGACCGGTAGGAGTTGGCGGTGTGGTCGTCGTAACGAGTTAAAGTGGATCGGACGCTTTGGATCCATAGTTCTGTATGTGCGGACCTTAACCCAGCAGGATGAGTAGGCTGGTATGGTGTACCGCTTATGGACGAAGACAACTTCTTTTTCTTCTTTAAGGCCTTCCATTCGCCGTTGTAGTCTGGTTCGGCGAATGGTGGGTGCTTCGGCCCGAAGTTGGCGAATGGTTGGGTCGTCTTCATCATCACTGGACTCCTCCGATGATTGGTTGTCGGAGTCAGTGTCCGGTGAGTCGCTCGAGCTTTGGACGTCCGAGTCGGTAGACTTGGGTTTGTCGTCCTGCTCTGGCTTTGGCTCGCCTTTGTCCTCGTTAGAGGTTAGCGAGCCGCCGGTCACCGTTGGTGCCGGTGTAGTCGAGAGATCCGCTTCTCGGTTCTCTGGCGACTCGGTTTCGACTTCTTGCCTCTCAGGTTCCTCTGAGTCAACCGGTGTGGTTGGACGGTCCCCGTTAGGGAGTGGTGAGGCTGGTCGGCCTCCTGTCCACCGCTGAGCAGCACGGGTCTGTATGGCTCGTATTATCGCTTCAACGCCGTCTCCACATAGAGGACAAGTCAGTTGGACTTCCTCCGTTGAAGAGTCCTGCGTTTGGCTGGTGTCCTTCCTATGGCCTCCCTGTTCCGGGTGTGGGCCATAATTGAAGCGCACTCTTGTCGCTATGTGCGGTGCAGCTTCTGGTAATGGTTCCGGTATGGTCCTGACGTTGGTCACGGACAAGTCGTATTTCGGCCATATGCTGACGGTGACGCCAGGGTGTTGGCCATACGCTTATGAAGTTTTATGATTTCATCGAAGAGGTCAGGGTACATCCGTTGGAGTGCCTTCGGCATTTCCATGTGGTACTCTTTCTATTCCCACAACAGGGCTAGACGTCCGTCCTCCCATAATGATCCCTCTTCGAGTAGTTTGTCCATTTCTTGGGCAAACGGTCCATATTCAGCGGCTATTTGCGGCCACGTTAGTGACACGCCTTTTTCTTCAAGCCAGCCCTCTTCTAGGGCAAGAAGTCGGTCAGCGCGGTACTGGAGGAAGCTTCGTACTCCAATGAACCATGTCTTGTATCGCTGGACCAGGTTCTCCTTAATTTCTCTGTCGGGCGCCGGCCGTTGGGCCGGTGCCTCTGGTATCGGGATAGTCTTTACTATCCCGTGATTTGGCTTGAGTATGCCAGAGCGAAATTGGTTCATGTAGCGCTCTATGGCATTATGGACGCGCAGTTTCCAGACGAGGCTATCGATGGTGTCCAGGCATTCCGAACAGGTAAAAGCTTGGACAGCCGGTTCGCGAAGCCGATTTATCCTCACTTAGTTCTCGGGTCCCGGTTCTTCTGGTATCGGGATTGACTTTACCGCGTCCCAAAAGATTTCTTTGTTTGGCTTCAGGATGAACGTGAACTTGGAGTGAAGGTAATCACATCCAAGTATGACTTGCACGTCCGTGGTCTTAGGTTGGACGAAGAACGTGTGGTGGCTTTTATATCCATGCAGTGTCACCGTTACGGTGCAGCAATGGGAGACCACAAAGGTGGTTTGACTGCCGACATTAAGGATTTTGGTGTTCCGTCCTAATGGCTCCATTTTGATGCCATTGGCGGTGCAGAATTGCTGGGTGATGAGGGAAGTCTCCGCTCCAGTGTCCAGCATGGCGAGCGTGTGGACTGGTCCAATTTGGACCGAGTGTGTTCAGGCTCAAACGGTCTTCGGTTTCCAGTTCTCGTCAAGACCAACTGTCACTTCCCGCATCACCGGTATAATGGGGGTTAGCGACACTGGTCCTGGATCAATAGAAGCGTCCATGGGTGTTAGGAGCTTCTGTTGGACGGACTCTTGCCGTGGCAATGTCCCTGCTTCCCTTATGGTCGAGAACATCTGCTTTTGATTTGGGCGAGTCCGTGAGTTGTTAATGGTCCGCGCTGTTGGTGCGGATCCGAGGGGTCGTCCACCGGTCTGGGGCCAGCATGTCCGGGGACTTGACGCCTCGAGAGGTTCGGCTGTCCACTCCTCTGGTGGATCAACCTCGCTGACCGTATTTTGTACGGACCATCCCTCCGGTGCACTGTCGGATGAGGATGATTCTGACGCCGATCTGGGGTACGTCATGTTCGTGGTGCGACGTCTCGCTTTCCCACGTGATCGGTTGGCCTGGACAATAGTCCCGGCTCCGAAAAACTACTTGGTCGCCAGCTGGACGACTGTCGGTTTGGCCTCAACTCTAGGGCCAAACAATCCAGGCGCGACTTCTACGCGTCCTGGCATGATCGCACCTCTAGGGCCATGTGGTTTAATCGCCGGTTGGGCGCTAAACCTGAATCCGCCGGCGGGCCTCTGGGCGTCCGGTTCCGGATCCGCTGCACTGCTAGCAGCTTGGGTTAATTGAACAAGGGGGTTAGTTATATCCGGCGGTTTGGGCTCCGGTAATAGGTCAGGTGAGTTGCCGTTACTCCCTGGCCTTAAGCGTTTCCCGCAGTTGGACTGGCCCGGTTAGAGCCGCCGCCAATGTTGTTGGCTGGGTGCAACTGCTGGTCGGTCAGCGGCGGTAAGGCGGTCCGTTCGGTCGCGGGTGTTTGAAATCCGCGTGGTCCGCCGTTTTGCCGGTTTCCGCCACCGGACCCGCTTCCTGAGCCGGTGGACTGCCTACGGGTGCCGTTCCCCCCACTACCACGTTGTGGTCGGGTTTGTCTGGGTGGCACCAGGCCGAAGCGGTTGGGATTTTGTGCCCCTGTCGGGTATCCCTTCATATACCGCTCGCGCCAATCCAGGACCCAATTCCGGTTGGGATTGGTCTTGTGGTTTTTCCAGAGACAGAAGTTGCAAGTAATGGCTTTGTCCCTTGCCAACCTTTCGAAAATTCGTTCGATGCGGTCGATGTACATATCGTCCGACTTGCGAGCCTCTGCGGAGTTTTGTGCTTAGCTTTGGTCGGTTTGACCTCCGCTGCCTCCTTGCCTCTGGTTGTTGCGTCTGGGGCCATTGTAGTTGCCGCCTCGCTTTCCGCTGAAGCTGGCGTTCTGGCCACCAGAGTATCCGCCTCTTGGTGTTCCGCCGCTATTCCCCTGGCCATAGCCAAAGTTACCCTGGCTCGGGGCCTGGCCATAGCCACCACCACCACCGTTAGGCGGTGTGGTCCCCCGTTGGGGGGAGTTGAGGTTCATAGCCGCGATAGCGGCGTATGATGGATTCACCTGTGGTTGTGGTGAGATCATCTGGTGTGGGGGATAGTAAGTCGGCGGTGTTGGCTGGCGAGGTACGACTTGGGCTTGTGGCGTGGGTATGGCCGCCCGTATTACCGGGTATTCTTGGCCCGCCTTCCCGTCGTACTGGGTTTTCCTGACGCGAACTGCCGGATGTAGTCCCGAAATTCTGTCGGGGACTTCGGCAGTCTAATGTCCAAAGCGCGGCGCAGTTCGGGCTCGTGCACGTTGATTTTTAAGAAGTGCAGAGTCATGGTGTCGTCCAAGTTGGCGCGGGCCTGGAGAGTCAGGATTGAATCGTAATATTGTTCTAGTGTTTCCGAACCGTGCCAGTAGAAACGGTTCGTAATTTCGCCCAGGGCGTT